ACCAGTCGAAGTGTACACGAGAACATGGATTGAAGCAAGGCGAAGGAACAAGACAGAACAAGACAGAAGGAGGGAAGTGGAACGACCGAGGTCAAGAAGGAATATAAATATAAATTAGGTGTTTGAACCTCAGAGCTGAAAGCAAAGCTGTGCAACCCCGACATCAAAATCACTACGTCACGCAAAACAACACAAGAGAACAAGTTACATTCACTGGCTTTTATCATGCCAAGAAGTACAAGCGCGAAGAATCACGCACATAGAAACAAAAATCGTACAAAACGACCAAGTATAACCAGAGATACGGCCATTTTAAACACAAGACACATAAAAAGGCAGTCACACATCACAACTACAAGCCATTACAGCACAAACACAATGAACACCACGGCACGCTCACATCCAACGAGACACAACGTCGGATTGAGAAAACAACCGACCACAGAAGACAAAGGCATCATACAAAGGACTTTACAAAAATTCAGCAAAAATACCACACAAATACAGCAAAAATTAAAGCAAAATTAAAACAAAAATACAAGTCAAGCCATCAAAAGACACAACGAGGAACCACCAAGGGAGCGACAGGTGCACACAGGGATCCCCACAGAGGGACCCCCGAGGCGGTGCCTACCTACGACGAGCGCAGGCAGACACCGCCAAAGTGGCGCTGGATGTGGTCAGCGTTCATCTGATGGACCAGCGCCGCAAAGCGACCCTTCCATCGAGGAACAAACGCCTCATCCAGCCCCGGCTGGTACACACCACGGGCCTCGGCGCAGCGGGCGAGCTGACCAAGCAGATCCACAAAGGAGGAGGCGAACCCACCGGTTGTCGTCATCGCCGCAGGGACGATCAGAGTTTTTCCATGGTTGAAACCGGTGTAGTAGTCGCGCTTCTCCTTTTCGGCTCGGCGAAGGGCAGCGCCCACCTTGATGCAGGCTTGCGAGGTGGTCGGGGGTTGGGCTGTGCGCACAGTCACGTCAATGCCCAGGTCGGGCAGAGCTGGGCCCA